GGTATGAAAAAATACTAAATTAGCAACAGAACATCGAGTAACTGTCTCCTACTGTATAAGCTTTGAGGGTTTATTTTTTGTATAGTTGTTACTGTAAATAGTTTGATCCTGCAGATGTTAGGTGATGTTTGAGTGAGTAAATTAACAACCAGCGAGGTTTTTCCTATGAACTGTGCTATAGAACAGGTTAGAAATAGATTCTGGTCCAATCTGATGGTTACTGATCCCTGCAGTGTTTTTTGCTAGCTTCAGTCAGAGCTGGAAAATTTTTATGAAAGAAATGCTTTTAGGGAGAGATGCAATAACTAGAAATGTAATATACACATTTCTCTTTTACCACTCATTATGTGAATTTGGTTGTTGGTTTGATGGGGTTTTTGAGAGAGTGAGAAAAAACACATCCTTACCTCAATGCTTCAGAAAGAGTTACAAAAGTCTCTTGCTACTGCTGTAGCAACACTTCAGCCACGTCAGCCTAAATTCGGCATACAGTGACACTGTTTCCAGAAGTGCAAATTCAGGAGAGCGTCTACCTGTAATAGAAGAACTGGAATCAAAAGTAATAGAAAACGGAGGCATTGGTTGTCTTGGGTTTTTTCTGTTTGTGCTCCTTTAAATAGAATTCAGCATGAGAGTTTAATTTAGTATTTCCAAACGCAACAGCTGATAATCAAGTTTTATCATTGCAAATTAAATGAAGAATTTACAGTCTAATACTGTGCATCTACTGAAAGACTTCAGCTGGTATATAGGGGAAAATGTAAATAGCTATCAAAACTTGAATTTATTGGTATAAATCAATCCATGGGACCTTTCCCTGTGGTGGTTCAGCAATATGAAACAGCATGTTCCTTCTCTGCCTACAGAAGGGTTTTCTTGTTTTTTACACATGAGGATTTTTAAAATTCTTTCAAACAGTGGTTAAAACTGTGATTATTTATTTTCTAGGCTGTAAGAACCAGCATATATGGTCGTCCAGGTTCCTGCTATATTGACATACCTGGGGATTTTGTGAATCTTCAGGTGAATAAGAGCTCTGTCAAGTACGTAAAGATTATATTCATTATTTTTCAAGACACTGAATAAAAGAAATTTTAGTTTTAAGTTACTTTTATATTTTCTTTTCTTAAAACAAGAAAAAGATAAACAATAGCAATAGATTAAATAATTTGCCACAAGGTTGAAATGATACTAAAAATCCAGCCTCTAAATGTAACGTTCCATCGTAACATGTGGTATAGATTATAGTTTGTAATGAAATGTGCAAAAAGGAATAAATTAATATGATGGTAATACAATGATGTTACTTTGTAAATCTCCAGAACAACACTACCTATAAGATTAAAGAACCATGCAAGAAAAACTTCAAAGCCTGTTTTTAAAAAAAATATCCTGTTCTGATAAATGCTGTGAGTAACATGGTATGTAGCAACTAGGGTTTTATGCTAAACGATAGGTTTTATCTTTCAATATTTCTTGTTTTGAATTTTTTAAAGAGCCTCTTTTGTTTTGCTTGACTTCCAGGTACATGGAATGCTGCCTGCCACCTCCCGTCAGCATGGCTGAATGCTCTGCTGTATCTGAAGCAGCGTCTATCATTGTTCATTCCAAGCAGCCTCTGCTAATCATTGGCAAAGGTAGCATTCTTTGATGTAGCTTTGAACTGTACAAGTTCTGGACAAGAAAAACGACCAAAGTGATTTCTTTTCCCCATAAGTGTTAGCCATCTCCTTTTGACTCTTTATTAAAACAAACAAACAAAAAACCAAAACACCACAAACAAACTTCTTTGAAATTTGATGTTAAAATCTGCTCTGTTTTTAGAATATTTTTATTCTGTTGTGTAACTTGTCTTTTTCATCTAGTTTAAGAGAAAAGTCAATTGATAAAATACAAGTTTAAGTAGAAAAAAATTGGGATAACCATTGTCTTAAGCCTAGAGCAAATACCAAGGAATCACTTCCAAAATTCCAAACAAATTCTGTTAGAATACAGAAGTGATATTCTCTGTCTGATGCTCTGGCATATATAGCAAGAATCAGAATAATCAAAGGTCATTTTTCCATTTGGACTTATTGAAAAGTGCCAGCCTACCTGTGTGGAGACATGAAGCAACACAGCAGGTGTTGCTGCTATTGCTGTTTTACAGACTTTCCGTTGTACTCTGCCAGTGTATTTCATTCCTGAAATAGAGGTGTCCCTAAAGGTAGAGGATAATTAGTCTCTGTGCTGGTTAGCTCATTTTGTCTCTCCTTGTGGAATGTTAGTCACTGCAGTGGCATTTCCGTTGAAGATATAGGTCTGCTAGGAACAGAATTGAAATAAGCACCTTGTTTCACCCAGGCTGTTTTTCTGCAGACGAGGGTTCTATGTTTAATCAGGGAGTGAAATGATTGAGATGAGATGGATCTTATCATTGACTGGGTAATGAAATAGTAGACAGAAGGTAGATCAGGAAAGGGTTGGGTTTTTTTTTCCCCTCTCTCTGGCTTCATACACATGAACAAAAGGGTGTTCTTTGAAAGTGAAAGGTAGAAGACTCAAAAAGACATAGCTACATGCTTTGTTGATGTCAACAATTGAGAATCTACTTAACAAATTTATCTGGACTTTCTGCTATATATTGTTGTTAGCAGGATTTTTGGAAGAAATACAGAAGTTTATTCTTCAGGATTTAAGACTCATGGACTTAAGTCATTGCACAAGGACCAGTCAGTTATTCTAGATTGCCTGGGCAACCTTAATTCAGCAACCTTGTACTAAAGGTAGCATCACAGTAAATGTACGCACAAACACATATCTTCACAAGGTCTTCTTTGAGCTTCTATTTTGTCATTAAAGGCTTATAGTAGACCTGTTTAGGGCAGGTTGTTATGGAGCTTGTGATACAACAACGTGGGGGGCAAGCAAAAAATGACATGACACAACACAACGGTCTCCTGTTGCTGCTGCGGAAGTCTCTGCCTCATAATACTGAACTTCACCCACACAAAATTGTCATTTTAGATAAACAAAATCTCCTATTTTTCCCTGCCCTGCTTTACAGAAATAGCTAAATAGTTCAACTGAAGTCTTAAAAAAAAAAAAAAAAAGCTTTTGTCAAAAATACAGGAAATTTGAACCCAAATACCTGTAGCTTGGCACATTACGTTTTGAGTTCTCCAGAATGAAAAATAACAAGCAGCTTTCATAATGGGAAATAGTACTCTTTCTGCCACTAATGTAATCGGGTTAATTGAAATTCAAATGAATACAGTAGGTTTCTGTAGTATTAAGCAGTCTCTTTCATTTCATTCAGGTGCTGCTTATTCACATGCTGAAAACAACATCAGAAAGTTGGTGGACCTTTGTGGACTGCCTTTTTTGCCTACACCAATGGCGAAAGGAGTAGTTCCTGATAACCATCCAAATTGTGTAGCTGCAGCAAGATCAATGTAAATATAAAGGAAGGCTTGTAATCCTAACATCTGAGAAACAGCTAGGAATTGTGGTTGTCTACAGATGCCAGGGAAGACAAAATGCATACAACAAAAATTTTTCAACCACATTTTGCACCTCATTTTAGAGCACTGAAAATCTTGCTTGGAAAGAGACAACAGATTTAGGTGGATCACTTTTGACAATGCTTAGAATGCTGGCCAGGAAGATACTTTAACTGAGAGCTAATATTCTGTAACTATGAAGCCTATGGCAAGTAGATGTATCGATGTTGTTAGTATGTATTTTATAACATAAAATTAAACTGGTAAACAGTTTATGTTAAACATTTAACTTAGTGCACTAGACAAACTACTACCTTTTTATTTTAACACCATAAACACAAGCTTAAGATGCACACATTGCAGTTGAAGTTTTGCTGTCTGCTGTCTCTGCATGGTGTGTGCAATACACTTCCACTAAATTGCAGTTTATTTAAAAAGAAAAATAAGGTATTTCAAACTACACTGAAGGACTATGTTTAAAGTAACTTATAAGAGCTCTTTTTGGCTTTTGGCAAAATTAATGTGAGTGAACTATAATAACCCTACTAGGTATGAATATGCAGAGAGTCATCTTGCAGATGGAGCATTTATATACTTTGAGATTGAATTATTGTCCGTTGTTGACCATCTTAACTTTATCACTGTTAAGCATGCTGTTAAGAAAAATAGAGAATAAAAGAATATACCAGCTGAAAGGTAAATTAACAGGAGTCTAAACTGAGAGGTCCACAACAATCTTAATTTTGGCACCCAGTGTTGCCAGTATCACAGTAGTGAGTCTTTTGCTTTAACCTCAGCATCATTATAGCATCTCGTTAGTCTCCTAGTGTAATGATTCCTTTCCCAAACACGGCATATTAGGAAAATAGTAATTCATTTTCTTCTTGAGTTCCTAAACTCAAGAATGGCTTGGTGATTGGCTGTGTAAAAGGATACATGGTTTGGGGGCTAAGCAGGCAGCTTAGAGAAAGGAAGGATTATATTCTGGGGTTTGCTGTGGTGGTTAGGATTACTTCTAATTTTGAAAACACTATTAAGTTTAATAATAATTCCTCTATCTGATTCTCTTATTTCCCTTTATTAGGGCATTACAGCATGCTGATGTAATCGTCTTGCTTGGTGCAAGGTTGAACTGGATTTTGCATTTTGGTCTTCCACCAAGGTTTCGACAAGACGTAAAGGTTATTCAGGTAAGCAGGAAAATGATTATCACTTGAAGGAAGTCCTCTGTGTTCTAGCATTGCCTAGAGCAATTGTTGTAAATTATTTTGGTAGTGTACTTCATGTGGCAAATACTGCCCTATGGACAGTGCAGTACAGTGCATATAGTTATGGTAGTTCTCCAGAAATAGTTCTGATTTCTTTCATTATTTTTTTTACTTCCTTATTTTTTTCTAAAAATGGTTACAGCATTGTTCCAGCTATCAAGGAGTTGGTGCTGCTGTAATGAGGAGGGCAGACACTTCTATGTAGTTGACTGACTAATACAGGATTAGACTAAGGATATTTGTGTGATCTTTGGAGCACTGGAATTTCCGTGATTGAAAGCAAATTGTCTTGAAATTGTGAAACCTTTCATACTGTTTTGACTGCTCTTTCGGCTGGATTTTTTTGAAATAGAATTACTTTCGGATCCAGAGTCAGTCGTTATAAGAGCTCAGTCACTCAGAAATGTTAACAAGCGTTGTGGTTTAACCCGGCAGGCCACTGACCACCACACAGCTGTTCACTCACTCCCCCCCTGCAGTGGGGTGGGGGAGAGAATCGGGGGAAAAAAGAAGTAAAACTCATGGGTTGAGATAAAGACAGTTTAATAGGACAGAAAAGGAAGGGAAAATAATAACGATAATAATAATAATGAAAAAAGAATATACAGAATAAGTGACGCACAATGCAATTGCTCACCACCCGCTGACCGATGCCCAGCCAGACCCTGAGCAGTGGTCACCGCCCCCTGGCCAACTACCCCCAGTTTATATACTGAGCATGACGTCATATGGTATGGAATATCCCTTTGGCTAGTTTGGGTCAGCTGTCCTGGCTGTGCCCCCTCCCAGCTTCTCACTGGCAGGGCATGAGAAGCTGAAAAGTCCTTGACTAGTGTAAGCACTACTTAGGAACAACTAAAACACCAGTGTGTTGCTGAAAAGTCCTTGACTAGTGTAAGCACTACTTAGGAACAACTAAAACACCAGTGTGTTATCAACATTATTCTCATCCTAAATCCAAAACATGGCACTGTACCAGCTGTTAGGAAGAAAATTAACTCTATCCCAGCCAAAACCAGGACAGTATCCACCCCTTATTCTATACCATCTACATCGTGCCCAGGTCCCATACTTTCTGATACAACCCAATTAATCACCACCACTTTTCCTGTCTTTTGATATATACACACAGATATCATTCCCTTAGTCTATGGGCTATCCCTATAAAATGTTTGTTGAATTCATTTAGTCCATGACTTTGGGCTCCATTAGTCATAACAGTCCTTCAGGGTAGGAGAGATGGTGTGTGGTGTGGGATTGTTGCATGCTGAAGCCAATTTTAGTTTCCTTATCACTGTGCTTGTCC